GTGGACAGATACTCTTACTGGATCTGCTGATGAAATTTATGTACTACAACATTTTCTAATTTTAAATAATCCTGACATTCCTTGGTTATTTAGTATATTAAAGCAAATTTCCAGAAAATAAATTTATTTTAATCTCAAAAAACTCTACAAATAATCAATATTTATTTGCATACATTAATGGTCTCTAGTCAACTCTCTTATGTACTATGACAGCTATTCCAAACTCTGGTACATCCTTAGGCCTCAAGTACATATCACTTATGTAATACAGTAAAATACATATATAATAAGTACTGTTTGTATCCATTGCAATGCCTTCAAGTTTAAGGCAGAATCATGTTTAGTTTATATTTGTATTCTCCCATGATAACTAATTTTACAAATATTTGATAAACCAGTAAATAATTTTTTTAAAAACTGTTTCTGAAGAAATATCTGATTGACAACCCAAAAGCTTTCAGAAGCTGAAAAAAACCTAAGTGTCAAAAACAAAACAACAAAATCCTTTACCAACACCTTCATCTTCCCTTTGTTTACCACAATCAAAGATCCATATTAATATTTCACGAAAATATTTTAGAAATGAAAAACACAATTTCTATAGCTAAATTAACTTGACATAACAAAAGCCAAGACCCACCCAACATTTGAATTACTGCATTCTATAAATCACTGTTATGACAATTAGTTTATTTGCTTTCCCACTTTAATCTATTTCAATGAGCGATTACAGATTAACTCTCCATTATCATGAGCAAGAAAAGAAAAAAGTCATGATTTTCATATTATATTTACTGCATGTCTAGTTTTTAGAACCTACAGAAAAGGAGAAAAAGGAAAATGAGGTTTTTGGATTTCATTAAAGTTTCTATCTTAAAACCTCCACTAGTTTGTAAAAGTTGTAAATAAAACAACTTTTATTTATGGAAAGATTGGGAGATTAATAAAAATAAGACCTTGATTTTCGCCGTAGATAGCTCCTTTCTGACCATATGGCCTTGAGTAACTAACTTCATGTCTGAATCTCAGTCCTTCATCTATAAATGTGGCTAAAATCCTCTACTCTGGCCATCTTATACAGGGTTAAGAGGATGAAGCAATGTAGTACATGTAAAAGTTATCTGTAACTATAAAAATACTACAGAAAATAATCCTATAGTAACATGCAATGTAATTAGAATGAAGAAATGAAATTTGGAGGCCAAATGATGTGTATGCCAGTTACAGAGGCAGGAGGATGATGACTGACAAATCTAGAAAATCTGTACCTGAAGAAATAACCCAGAGCAAATGGGTACAAGAAGTTAAATACATGGACATACATTTAGCACCTTAGTGATTTATATAGGAAAGTAAAGAAATTAAAGCCAAAATTAATTGAGAAAAAAGGAGAATAAGTGAGCTAAAAGCGAAACTACTAAGTTTGAATACCCAAAAAGCCAACGGAGGTTTTGAAAAGGTGTCGTGAGCTAAAGCTATGATTTTATATTTTTGTATTTTCAACCATGAGAAATGTTATTAATAACTGGTGGTCAAAAGTAAAGGCTGACCACAACTGTAAAATCTATCAGTGTTTTGTGAGACATCAATAATACTGTATTTGAAACTGTAAGATAACACACTAGAATTTCCTTTTCCAATCCACGGGAAATGAAAAAGAGTAATAAAACATAATGCAATATTGAAAAGCAAGGAATATAGACTTCCAATAGCCACAGGGAAGAAATGTCTAAAAGAACAAGACAATGAAGAGGGATAGAAAGAGGGAGCACGGAGGAGGAGGGAGAGCGGTAGAAGGAAGAGAAGGGGCAAAGACAAGAAAAAGAAGAACCAGGAATCTTTAATTTATAACATACACTCTAAGCATGGGGGGTAGAGGTAGTGGCATTTATAGAAGAATTATCAAATGTCTGACTGTATACCATTGGTATGGCTGACAATAGAGAGGAATGATCCAGGAAAACCTAGCTTTATCCATTCACAAGCTGGAACTACCTTATTGTGGGATCAGTATAAAGAACACTTTTGGATCTTATGCCCAGGATCTACTGACATTACTGCTTGGTTCTTAAACCTAATCAATCAGGTGGTGAGCATTTGGGGAAGACCCTCCCCATAGTCAGGATGAAATGTCATATTTAGCACTGTATAACACATTTTATAATTTTGAATAAAAATGTAGCTGTTTCTATCCATTCCATCCTATTTATATTCTCCAGTCACGGATACCTCTGATTGTTTTGAAAACAGCAATATTAATAACCTTCCCAACTTCCAAATACTCCCACTGTATTTGGTCTGTGCTGTAACTGCCTTTTTATCCTAAGGGAAGTATCACTGGGTCATATATTAAAGAAAGAAATGCCTTTAGTACCCTGCCAACATTACAATTTTTTATGGACTTCCCATGTCCAGATTAGGGCAGGGAAAAAGACACAGATCGGTCCTGCATCAGACATAATTATAGTCTTCTGAGGCATATACTGCTGTATGAACTTTCCCTGGGTGTAAGGACATCTATTTCTTCTTTTTTTTTGAGACAGAGTCTCACTTTATCACCTTGGGTAGAGTGCTATAGTGTCACAGCTCCCAGGAACCTCAAAATCCTGGGCTCAAGTGATCCTCTTGCCTCATTTTACCTGCTTCTATAAACATACCACTTTCAAATATTTTCATATTCCTTCTACTGTTATCTTTGTAGCAGCCACACTCATATCCATCCAACTCCTAAAGCTTTACCATCACTACTACCTTCCATTGGGCATCATCGAATTCTTGCTTAACTAAGCATTGATTTGATTCATACTAATCATCTATCTCTCTAATCACCCATTCTTCCATCTCCTTACTCTATAACAGTCATTTTCAATAGCAGATAATTCTTTTTACAATTAGCAGGGGAGTGAGTTGCTACATCCTGCAATGCACAGGACAGCCCCTAACAACAAAGAACTATCTGGCCCAAAATGTCAATGGTGTCAAGGTTGGGAAAATCTGTTCAAAGAAATGTGAATGAAAAATGCTCTTCCACAAAAGTCTCACATTCTCCCTAATATGATAGAAAAAAAGGAAAATGTAAGCTTTTTCCAGATCAAATTCTTCTCAGAGAAACAGCTAATTTATTCTATCTTTATTTCTCATCCTCTGAATTCATGCCATTTATACAAAATATAGACTACCATCAAGTAAATGTTGCTTTTATATATTTTTAGACCTCGCTACATTTCAAAATGATTATAGCTTCTCATATAACTTTTTTCTTCTATTCTAACCACTGCAATGTCATTAACTGCATGGATAACTTATCTGATGTCAGAACTTTACAGTTACAGGATCTCTATGACTTTTTCCTCCAGTGCAACCTTGAAGTAACAGAGCACTACCCTTACCTTTATTACTCACAGATCTCAAACTTGGAATCATGTATCACTCATCAAAGCCTCCTTTACCTTCTACCCACTAATCCAATGAACTGGTTCTTCAATCAGTTAACCCTTCCAAAGATAATATGTCCATTATCACCTTCTGAAAAATATTTAAATCCATACATACTCTGTATTTCATCAGCAGTAACTGCAAAAGGTTTGTTACCATGTATGAACTCAATCACACCAGACTCAAAAGCTACCATAAACCTTCAACCAGATTCATTACATGGATCTAAAATCCTTGAAGACTCACCCTCTTTTCCTAGTCCTGCACTGAAATGCATTGCAAAAATCACAGTGGTATTAAGAAACAAAGATGATTAAAAGCCTTTATTACTACTCAGGAAAAGTTTCCCATAACTCTTGTCAAGGCCTTATGAGGTAATTCAAATCACCTCAACTTTCTTCAACAGTGTCCTTTCGCCCTTTCAACAAACAACTTCACTTCTTAAGCACTTCCTCTCCCAAATGAATTATGTGTGGAACAAAAAGAAAGAGGGGGGAAAAAAGGTGAAATGTTTACTTGAGCATTGTCAGGTTCATCTTTAATTTTGTCTAGTAGTCCCTGCCGTGGTGCCACTGCTTTGTCATACTCATCATCCAAAGGTTCTTCTTTAATTCTAATATTTGATGCAAAGGAATTCCCCAGTTCCGAACCAATGGAATCTTTATTGGCAAATGGGTAGCTGGAATCCTAAAACACAATATAAAGGATTAATAAATATTCAGATTTTAAAATTATTCCTCTTCAGGTTTAACACCCAAAGAAAGCTCTTTGGAAATGAAGAACTCTATGGACATTCATTAGAATCCCTATGCTAAAAGTAAATGTGCT